CTGTCTCGTTATAATGAGAAAACTCTCTTGTTATGAGAAAACTATCTCGTTATAATGAGAAAACTATCTCGTTATAATGAGAAAACTATCTCGTTATAATGAGAAAACTATCTCATTATAATGAGAAAACTCTCATTATAATGAGAAAACTGTCTCGTTATAATGAGAAAACTATCTCATTATAATGAGAAAACTATCTCATTATAATGAGAAAACTCTCATTATAATGAGAAAACTGTCTCGTTATAACGAGAAAACTATCTCATTATAATGAGAAAACTGTCTCGTTATAATGAGAAAACTGTCTCGTTATAATGAGAAAACTGTCTCGTTATAATGAGAAAACTATCTCGTTATAATGAGAAAACTATCTCGTTATAATGAGAAAACTATCTCGTTATAATGAGAAAACTGTCTTTTAAAAATGAGAAAATTATCTTGTTATATCAAGTTAACCATCTCATTATAACGTGTTATGATTTCTTCTGGTTTGTCATTTTCACAGAAGTTTATTGCCTGGATGGTGTGATGGAGAACACGACTGAGTCTCACTATATAAACAAAAACAAACAGAATTATTTGGGTTTGTGCTCAGATGTTGCAGCTAGTAGCACTTAATAATATTCACTCTCTAATCTGAATTCAGACGGTATTATTTCAAAAACATTTTTCAGTACTAACTTGTCATTTTTTAGTCTAGAAATGTGTTCCTCTTGCAGATTTCTTCTTCATAAAAAGGCGTAAAGTGAGACTCAGTTGTGTTCTCCATCACGCCATCCAGGAAATAAACTTCTGTGAAAGTGACAAACCAGAGGAAACCATAACATGTTTTAACAAGATGGTTATTTTGATATAAGATAGTTTTCTCGTTTTTGAAAGATAGTTTTCTTGTTATAACGAGATCCAGTTTAAAAATAATTTCATGTCATGTGGCAGCTCTACGTTTCTGTAGAAAACAGATAAAAGTGAACGAGCTGAGATCTTTTTAAAGAAACCCTGAGCAGCTCCAAACCTGACCAGGTGTCATTACAGCAGGAAACAGCTTTTTAATATTTAAACACAATGATTTAACTCTGCTCTGTTCTTTGAAGAAAACAGCTTAAATATTTTAGTTTGAAAGGATTAAAATGTTCAGATAATAAAACCTAAACACATATTTATGCTGATTTTTAATAAACTTCTTGTTTAAGCACATTTCAGCAGGACTGTAAATGATTTTATCAAGATTTTCCCACCGAAACATTTAAAGTTTCACTTTATAAATCAAAGCAGTTTAAATCAGCTGGTTGTGTTTTCGTTGTATGAATGTTTACATGTTATTTCACTGGCATGTGGTGAAACAGAAGCTGAAGCTCACATCAGACCAAACACACCTGAGCTCGTCTCCAAGATGGCCGCCAGTCAGTCTGACAGCAGGAAGATGAGAGAACCGGCCTCCTCCTCAGGTACAATCCATGTGTGACGTTCAGACTTTAAATCCTCAAAGTTCCTACAAATACTCTTCTTCTTCTTCTTCTTCTTCTGTGGTTTCTGCTGACAGGCACTTCCTGTTCTAGAACAAATGTTCTTCCAGTTTGTGACGAGCGACTGGATCGTCTTCTTTCTCTCAGGTGGACTTTGAGCTTTGAACAAGAAAAGGGAAAAGTGTTCAGTCATAAAACAGCCAGTCTTCCTGTAACCACACACCACCACACACACACACACGCGCGAGCGTGTGTGTGTGTGTGTGTGTGTGTGTGTGTGTGTGTGTGTGTGTGTGTGTGTGTGGTTAAATAAAACAACAAGCCCATTATTAAAACGTTTTCTCAGTTTTTGTCTGATTTCTGACTCTTATTGATCAAATTAACTAAAGGATCCAAAGATGTTTGCAGAAACACAACATGTGCGAAAATCTGTTTTCACCTTCACTTTTTAAATATTTAGTTTACAATTTACAACGGTGTATTAGGACCACTTCGCGGATGGAAAAATAAAAACATAGGAGCAAATCTCTGAGAAAAAACTCAGAAATTCTGAGATTAATTTATGAAATTTTCGAGAAAAAAAAAACAGGAAATTCTCTTACGTTGAAAGGTCGCAAATTTGCGAAAAAACAGCAGAAATTTACACAATCAAGGGCAGAAATTTGAGACATTTAAACTAAATATTTTCTAACTTGGTGAAGTCAAAAATTTAGGGGGAAAAAACTTGTAAATTTATTTTTCAGGAGGACTGGCTAAAGGGCGATTTCACCTGTCTTCACTACCTTCAGCATCTTTAATCTGCTAAAAACAAATCACAGTTAGCATGCTAAGCTAAAAACAAATCACAGTTAGCATGCTAAGCTAAAAACAAATCACAGTTAGCATGCTAAGCTAAAAACAAATCACAGTTAGC